CCTGTATCTGTTATCTATATGCTGGTAGTATTTTCATTAATATGGATAACAAAGACTTTTTAAAAATAAAGCAACATGGGCTCTCCAGTTTTGTTGGCTTCCAAAAGTGTTTTGAATGTGTTGAATCCCTGGAGGTTCTGTTTAAACTTAAGGGTACACTTTTTATATTTCCTCAAAAAAGATAGTTCTCAGGATTGTGATGGAGATTGCTTTGAATCTGTAGATCACTTTCTTAGTGGAGTCATCTCAACAGTATCAAAGCCAACTATATCTTTAATCCAGGATAAATAATTCCCCTTATTAGTGTGCACGTAATTTCATCCGGCATGCTTTATGCTGTTTGCTATATACATCTTTCACATCTACAACTGGGTTTATTCTTAAGTACTTTAGTCTGTTTCATGATACCGTGGATGGAATTGTTTTATAGGCGGAGCACACAGAAAGGTGGCTAATTTGTTATTTCTAAATGCTAATGACTTTTCGCTTTCCTGACTCCTTTTGTATTTCATCATCTTTTTTTGTAGTGCTATGCTTTGGTTCTCATTTCCTTTTGTCTCTGTTCTACATGAGATGGTTGAATAAGAATGTACTCATAGGCTCCCAGTTGGTAGACTGTTTAAAGCATTGTATACACATTGTCATACAATCGGACCTGCTTTTTTGTATGTGCTTGTTTGTCACTTAAAATCTGTGTGCCAGTATTAGAGAAGCCTGTGTTGCTGTGTGTGCTGAAAACTTTGTATGACTGTTTTTCACTCCTTTCTGTCCTTTCTCTTTGACCTGCAGACCGCTGGGTTGTCTCTTGGTCAGCCAGTCAAGTGCTAACAAGCTCCTTCGGCCTTTGGATACTTGGAAAGTCTTAAGTTTCTTCTTCACTTTTGAAGGATAATATTGCTGACTGCAATATTTTTGGTTGGAATGAATTTTTCTCCACTTTGAAGGCATCATCTGTATGAGTCCATTTGCTGCAATTATAGTGAAATAACTGAGACCAGAACATCTATTTTTAAAAGTGGCGTGTCTTTTTTCCATTTTTTATTAGAAGATATTAAGTATACAGCATAATGGTTTTCTTTGTGACATGCCATGCATGCGTGTACCATGTCTTGGTCTCCTGACACCCTGTCACCTTCAGCAGCCTCCTGTTACGATAAATCTTTCCGCCAAATGCTGCCTGAGCCCCACGGCCACGTGTGAGCTTTACACCAGCCGCCCACCCGAGCTAGGCCCAAATGAATACACAGAAACTTGTATTAGGTTCAAAGCTGCTTGACTGACTAATGACTAGGATTCTTCATCTGCTAGCTCAGTCTTAGTTATCATAAATCGATATATTTTATAAGACTTATCTTATCGGACGCCTTAGTGGCGTCCCTCCTGGCCTGTTTTTCCCACCCTGCCGCTGGAGCAGGAGCGGAGGGGAAAAGGGGGACGCTTCCTGTTTTTCTTTTTTTAAATATGAGTCTCCTTGCTATGTCACCTCCTGCCTGGATCACCACTTATCTACTACATTTCCCAGAATCCTCTTTGACTCCTAGTCCTAACTTGCTGACTCTTTAGCCAAACAGTATTTTATTCAATAATCAATAAGATAAACATACACAGTACATTCCCCATCAGCCTCCCGTCTTTTTCTCCCGTCCTTGTTTTCCTTCAAAAACATCCCATCTTCTGCTGCCATGAAAAGAAGTTTGTTCCACTCACAGTTTTAAAAAGTACCAAGCTCCCTTGACCCCCAGTGAACATTTCATTTCCACTATTGTAATTTTTCTTTCCCCAAATCCGTTTGGTTCTATTTTCAGCTTCCGCATCCTTGTTGGCAGATGATCTAGCTTGTGCGCCACCCTCCTGTGTTCCTAAAGCTGCTTGTCTGTGATGGCCATCGGCTCATTAGTTCCTAGTAGCTGACTAAGCGTCTTTAGGATGCTTTTAAAAAATTCTTTCTGAAGAAGCTCATACATTTGTGATGCTTTAATCAATGAAGTATTCCTTCCTTTCTCCGACGAGGCCACTTTTTTCTGTTCTTGTTTTGTTCATTTGCTTGTTTGCTTTTGTATCTGTGTAAACTTTTCTATGATCTTGACATTTGAAATATTACTCACTTCTCTTAGTCTTTTTTTAATTATTAAGTTATTTTTATTTTAGGTGTGTGGGCATTTTACCTGTATGTATATAGTGCACCATGTGAGCACTTGATGGCCAGAGAAGCTAGAAGAGGGTTTCGGAACCCTTGGGACTGGAGTTACAGACAGTTTTGAGCTGCCTGGTCAATGCTGGGAATCCGACCTGTGTCCTCTGGAAGAGCAGCCAGCCAGAGCTCTTAACCAATAAGCCATCTCTCTAGCACCACCTTTTATCACTGTTGTTCATGAAGTCTCTTTTTTATTTCTCCACATTCAAAAGGAATGTTTATTTTTCTACAATTCTTACTTCCACTATAAAAGAAAAAGAGTTCAATATCAAAGCAAGCTACCACTGGGAAGCTTTGTTAAGTTTGAGATTTTCAATATGACTTAAACTATAGCCACTTTAAACCTCAGTATCGGGGTTTGGAGAGACAGCTCAGCAGATAAGAATGACGGAGCAAGTCAGGTGTGGTCCCTGGAACACCTGTAACCCCCTGATCCTGAGGGGAGGAGATAGGAGGGTCACTGGATCATAATGGTTTCCAGACTATCTGGAAAGACAGACAAAATCAACACAAGGTCCAGAAGAAACCCTGCCTCGAAGGAACAAGGAAAAAAGAATGTCACACACTCTCCTCTCGTCTCTGGGCATGCACAGGAGTGTGTGCATACTCAAACACACACACACACACACACACACACACACCACAAGCATATACTGTATTCACACATTTGCATAAATACATACACCTACATGGATAAAAAAAACAGTAAAACAGTAAAAATGGGTGGAAGTGATCCATTCACCATTTTTATTCTTTAGATTTCACACCATATATGCTTAATAACACATTGTACTCTGTCTCGCACACAAATACACATCTGCTTACCCTCCTTATATTTTATAGTAATAAGATCAATATAATCCTGAAATCTGACATTTTGCACTGAAACTATCATTTGGGCAATTAGGTGGTCAGATGACTTCAGTAGCCCGATGCATCTCCCCAGATGTGAATTCTCCAGAGAGTTTTATTTTTATCTGTACAATGATGGCTACATAACAAAACTTTTGTAGTAAAGATAACTGTGCGGTAGTTGGTGTGACCACAGGAAAAGTGGTCTCCCAGTTGCATGGAGCACACAGACCAATGACGATGTGTTTGGTTGTTATTTTTAGTTTCTTTACGCTTTGTGGTTTAGAGGCTTTTGGAAGCATCTGCTGATAAAACTCCCTCTCTCCTCAAGTCTCTTGCTCTTAATGAGGCCATTGTACAGGGGCTGGAAGAGATGGCTCACAGTCAAGAGCACTAGTGACCTCCCAGATGAACCAGTTCGTTCCATCTTACAAGGCAGCTCACAACTACAGAACACCAACACACATATAATAATAAAGTAAGAAAAAGAAAAACCTTCAATGTCCTCAAAGATTCACTTTCATCTAAATACAGCTTCTGACATCTCTTTACTCTGTTGATTGGTCTAATATATCCCCACAGTCACTGACCGCAGGGTTGATTTCGAAAGCCTGGTCCATGACCCACCTCAAATACTTGGAGCGGTCTTCACACGTTTACCACTGAAGGCTAGTAGTGTCTAGGTAAGGGGGTGGGGGTTCTGGGACAAAAAAACAGAATTATTGACAAACTTTTAGATGGTTCTTATATAAACTAAAGCCTGAGGACCTGGTGCAAATGGAATTTATCTATACTAAAGGTCCAACCCTGGTTGAAATCAGCAGAGGATAAAGAAATATATAGAATCACTCAAGATGGACAACTCTGGAAAATCTTTAGGTTTCAGTGAAGCACGAGGCAGAACCCTGTGCCTGGCTTTGAGTGGAATGACTTTTTCATCAAACAGTGACAGCTGATGAAGTTCTACTGAGTCACGATGTGTGCTGTGAGACCCTCATACAGGCTTCCCCTCACTTTGCAATCATCAGTGGTCTTGGGGAATGAGGGTGTGCCCCCAGACTGTGAGTGCGCAGCTCCTGTCTACCAGAACTCACAGCCAGCAGCCTGCTGCCACTGTAGCCGTCATTGTGAGCACCTGGTACAGTTCCACTCTGACCACAGAAAGTGACTTTAAGGAAATCCTTGCTTTTCTTCTTCTTTTTCACTTGTGATATGAGAAGGTCTGACTTGGTGGCATGATAGTCCTGCTCTAAGGCTCTGGGCCTGGAAACCCTGGGAGGAGCTAGCATGTCCCGTAGACCTGTGTATGCCCTTCACTCGCAGTAGCTCTGATGGATGAAGTCCTCAACTCGGGACAACCCTGAGTAGCACACGCTGCTCCTCCGTCACTGCTCTTCCGATTTAGCCAGTCATGAGTTTTTACCACATTCATGTCTTCATCTTGACATTTCACAACTCCTTTCACGGCACGGATATTTCAGGAGATTAGAGCTTCATGGTGTCAAATAGCACCATGGACTTTGATGCACTAATCCTCAATTTCAAAACGTAGCATAAAACGCCATACATCGTAATCCCTGGGAGTTCAGGGATAAGGTAAATTTGAATTCAAGATGAGTATTTCATTGGAGCTCTGAGAGGATAACTCGTAACAGATGGTTAGAGGAACATAAACAAGGAAAACCTCCCCAGAAATTTGTCTACAAACCAAACTCCATGTTCTGTATGTTGCACATTCTTTCTTTAAAAAATAAACAGATAAAATGTAAGGTGTATGAGCAGGACAGACACCAAGGTCAGTAACTATGGAGAAACCCTCAGTTACCAGTGCAGGTGGGTGTGGACACACACAGCAGAGCACTCTCAGAGGACTTCCTTTTTCCGCTCATTTCACCCCACAGAATTTGGAGTTTGTCCCTGTCCACAAGTTCAGTGTCAAGTCCCTTCATCTGCAATGGATGCGTCAGTGGTCTACGCTGACTTAAACCTAGCCAGGACCCGAGAGCCTAAGCGCGAGTCACCTCCGTCTTTTCCCCCAGGTAAGCATCTTTACTTCTCCTCTGGCTTTCGAGTTATCTTCCAGAGCTAAGATTTTCCTCTGAAATGTATGGGCTTAAGTCCTTGCTTTGAAGGCGAGAAGAGGCCTATGTTAGTGTTAAACAGTGTAGGCAGCCTGCCTGCAGAAAACCACAGTTCTGGAAAGGTCATACATTCCATTTTTATTCAAGTAGACAGCAGGAAACCTGAACATCACTTCCCCTATTCAGCCTTCGTTAAAAGCCCCAAAGAAAGAATATTTTGCTTACACGAGCAAAGGCATATTTTAAGAGAGAATTGATGCAGCCAACTGCCAATTCCAAATTCATCTACAGAATGTGGTCACTATGACCCAGCTGTGCTTCAGCCGAAATGACTTCATGGTTAATGTCCTCACCTCCCAAAAAGGAGGGTAATCTTTGCAGAAAAGTCACAGTCAAAATCAAAGGCTCGAATTAAATTAAAAGCTGGATGTATGTATGTATGTATACATATATGTGTATGAGTTTATTTAATTTTTTAAAAAGCTGGTTCTTTCTATCTTGCAAAGTATAACAATTTTAAGTGGATGAACCACACAAAATCCAAAGCCAGTCAGGAATTAAACTTTCAACACTGACTCAAAGTAGCACCCTTGTCTACCAGAGGGTTTAGTAATACAAGCAGAAGAAATGGGGAAGGCTGGTAAGATGAAGCACATGACCTGCGGATGGCTGAGATGTAAGAGACCAGAAGCTCAGGCAGAAAGTCTGTAAAGTAATTATGATACATATTCCATCCTGCTGTCTAACTGAAGGTACCGACATCTATCTTAAAGCAGTTGTTTTTCAATTTGATATCCTCTATGTGTTGTGACATGTAGACTTTTAGGGCTCTTTGTTAGAAACTATTATATTGTCAAAGGCTTGAGTCAAGAAGCCAGAGTCACCAGAAGTCTGAGTCACCAAATAATTTTCATTATAATGTTTACATAAGGGTGAGTGGAAAGTAGAGGGAATAACTGGTTTGATAACCACAGGGGGACTTGATGGCACCAGCTTTGTTTTGTTTTGTTGGCTTTTTTGTTTTTTTGTTTGTTTGTTTGTTTGTTTTTGGAAAAAGCCAATCTGTTTTCCCATCATGCCTAGCAAAAATGGAGAAAGCGCCTTGTTGAAAAGGGTGTAAGAAAATTAATATAGAGGATGATAATGAAGCTCTCCTCAAACTATACTGTATAGTTTGAGTCAAAAAGACTAGAAAAAAAGTGTCTAGAAAGTCAAAAATAAAAAAAAAGGCTAGAAAAAAATTATGATTTTAAGCTTCAATAATCTGGAAATAAACATGAAGAAAAAAACAAATGATAGTGGACTAAAAACTGAATAGAAAATGCTGATGCAGATGCATGATAACTGTGAAACCACTGGAACACGCTAGCTAAAGGGCTCAAACCATGGTAAATTCAAAGCACCGTGGTTAGATCTGCCAGAAAAGAGAACCGGAAAGGGGGACGTGGGCAGTGACCTATTTTGTTTGTGGTCAAATGGCCAAAGGTCTATTTTGATGGTACAATGAATAAGATATGTAAAAATGCCTCCAGAGTTTATTCATTCCCTCAGAAATAACTAATTACTATGAGACATACATTGCTCTGTTCACTGGGGAGACAGCCATGAAGAAACAGGGAAACATTTTTCTCCCTGTAGATTTTATATTGCTATAAAGTTTTAAATCAGTGATAGAAACACCTGCATCAGAGACTTCGTGATGTTGAATGCCAACAAGAGAACATTTAAATGGAAATTAAGATTTTTGCCTTTAGAGATGGCATCATGTAAATAGAATGATCTAGTCAGGCCTTCCTGTGAGATGACGCTGGGGTCAAGTCCTGGAAGTCTCGGGGACCAAGGCTGAGTATCTCTGAGAGATGAGTCTTCTAGGAAGCTGCGAATGCAGAGGGAGAACATGCCTGTCACGTTGTTAGGGAGCACACATGCCTAGTGTGCTGTGTAGATCAAGTCGGAGGCAATGGTGACAGGTGGAAAGGGATTTGGAAGACATTCTGTAGGTTCAGATGTTGAAATGTCTGCGACAGCAGAGATGACTTGGCATTCTGTGGATAGCAAAGCAGGTACTTCCTCATAACCAGTGCTCACAAAGCGTCTTCATATGTAACTCCAATAGTACAACAAAGACTACAGGGAGCCCGGGGAACCCAACTCAAGGACAGGAGTTCTCTGAGTTTTGTCATATGGATGAAGATTTTTTAAGTCACCTAAATGGCTTTTTACCCATAATTAAAACAAAATAAAAGCAAAAAAGCTCACTTTTTAGAAACAAAAAGAAAGAAAATGATATTTATTGGCAATTACCACAGGCCAAATACTATGTTCGGGAATTTAGAATAATTGTTGCCTACAGCCCTTTCTAGAACATTATGAAGTAGATATTGTCCACATTTTATAGATAAGAAAATTCGTGGATTATGAAAATATTATGGGCCTTGGAGCTTTGGAGTCTCCTCTAGTACCTATTCCTGCCTCCTGTCCAGGACACTCATGACCTACACAGCAGCAGTGTTGGTCCACTGGCCACATCCTCAAACCTAACACACTGGCTGCTTCCTTCCGTGACAATCTTGTATCTCCTCTCTCCATACAACACTGCTTACCCTTCACAGAAGGTTGCTTTCAGACCTCTGCATACATACTGGTCTTGTACATAAAATGTAGTCCTTATAAGTAACCTGATTGCACATTACTGTGTTCCTCAGATAATCTGTAGGCTACTTACAGCACCTAGGATAATTTCAAAGCCATGAGAATAGCTGCTGTTGAGTATCTGAGTATGTTGAGTATTTGAGTATTGAGTATGTTAAGAATAAAGATGGAGAAAGAATGTGTGCATTCCACACAAATGCAGCTTTTGGTATGTGACTATCTTCAGTATGTAGTTAGTTGAGTTTTCAGATACTACACCAAGCATAAGTTAGACTGAGTGTCTTTGTCTCTCCCGGACATTTTTGTTCTTCTCTCCTCTCCATCTCTTCCTTTGATTCTTTCTCCAGAGGAACATTTTAAAAAGCAATTAACTCATCTAAGTGCTTATCATGTCTCAATGCTGGTGTAGAGACTAGAGACAGTTGATCTTTGTCTTCCGTCTGGGTTAAACAATTCAGTTGCCAGGGATAGTGTAAAAAACTTAAATGTATATAGAAAAAGTAGAACTGGATATACAGACAATTCCAGAAAATACAATGAAAATAAGACAATATAATAATAGCACATCTGATTTTAAAAATTTAATGTGTAACTCAAAACATGTATTCATTTATATTAAGAAATACTTAGAAAAATATAAAGCCAACTGGAAATATTTATAAATCATAAATCAAAAGGTACTTTGCAGAAATAAGGAAACCCTAGCCAGGTATGTGGTTCATACCTATGATACCAACCAGAACCTGGATGTGTTCCATATGATACCCATGCTTTTAAAGACATGCTGTCTAAAGTCAAAATAAATTGTCCGAATCATGACGCTTTATGAACACATTTCATAACTTGAGATATCTGAACTTCTAGTATACGTAAGATATTTATTGTATAGTAACTGACATGGCCACCAAGAAAAGCAAAGATACAGGACCTGGTGTTTCACCAATGTTGTGTGTAGATGTATGTGTTATACAGCACAGTACCCCTTTATCTGCCTTTTCAACTTCTGCTCTTTCATAACTTGTAGCCAATAAGTGGATAAGCAGTAATAAAAACACTAAATAGAAAATTACAGGAATAAGTGACTCCACGTTAAACTGAACATTGCTCTGAGCTGCACGTTGAGATCTCACACCATCTTAGTCAACATGTGAGTCACTCCTCACTACCTGTGTGATGGCTATTCTTGACTGACAACATGACTATATCTGGAATAAATTATAGTCCAGAAATGGAGGGGCACACCTGTGATCCAGATCTTGAGGCTGGATGATGAACGCCTTTAACCCAGACCTGGAGGCTGGAAGGCACACCTTTAATCTGGACCACACCTTCTGTTGGAAGCCTCTATATGGACAATGGAAGAAGGAAGGGTGGTCTTCCCCTATTTGTCCTCACCTCAGCTCAGAGCAATGTTCAGTTTAACGTGGAGTCACTTATTCCTGTAATTTTCTAATTAGTGTTTTTATTACTGCTTATCCACTTATTGGCTACAAGTTATGAAAGAGCAGAAGTTGAAACGGCAGATAAAGGGGTACTGTGCTGTATAACACACAGTCAGCATATTCATTTCCTTCTTTGAGACCCCAGCAGACTGCCTGAGACGCCCAGCCTTGGGGGACTGACTGAGCAGCTGCTAGATTCTTGAACTTTCCATTCATAACTAGTCATTGTTGGACTGCAGCCTATAAGTCATATATCTATGGAAATTAACTATTTACAACTATATGGGGGGACTCATTCCATAAATCCTGCAACTCTAGAGAACCCTGACTGATACAACCTGCCAGTCACCCAGGTTTGTGCTCAAATAACTCATTTTACCGAATAGTGGCCTCAAATTGTGAGCTCTGTGAATGCTGGAAACCCCGCAGTGTCAAAGAGAAGCCACGCATGCTTCCTCTACATGAAAAGGTGAAAACACTCCATTTAAGGGACGGAAAAAAAAAAAGAAACAGATTTTGCTAGTACATATCAAGCTGTGAAAGTTACAGCCACAGTATGCATATGCTCAGTTAAGACGGAAAACCCGGTGTTTGTGTGTGTGAAACAATGTCCATAGCGATTGCGTCTAACCACAGTTCGGCTCTCCATTAAGAGTCTGAGAACTCAGCCTGTGAGAGTAAGAGGAGACTAACGTAGTTAAAATACTGACAACAACACGGTGGCTGAGACCACTGGGTTGTGCTTGGAGTTCCAGACCAGTCAGGGCTACATATTGAAACCCTCTGCAGAACGAACAAACAAACAAAACAACATAGAGGCCTAAACTTTGCTCCAAGTTGGAGAAGACCGTTCTAGACAACAGTGAAACCGGTCCCATGGTCAATAATAGAATTGCTATGTATCATCAGCACCAAAGGTGGTACTCAGCACAAAACTGAGCTTGTGTGTGTGTGTGTGTGTGTGTGTGTGTGTGTGTGTGTGTGTGTGTATGTGTACACCTTCTATAAACGAAGATCCTTCTTGGAGGAAATGCTGGCTCATTCCCATAACAGAGCACATACTTTATTGTTGTACAGCACTCACTCAGCAGTTTTCACAACATTTTCCCCACCAACCAGGTTTGACCCTCCTACCACCCTCTTTCCCATGAAACATGTACAGGTTGTCCTATTTTGTCAGAGAAAACACTATCTGACCCCACTCGGAACTCAACTTGTGGAATTCTATAGGATGGTGGCTGAGAAAGGCTCTTTTCTGCACCCTACTCTTACTTGAATCCGATTGCCATGTTAATCAAACCACCTCTGACTCATTCCAAGCACGTTCAACTAGATTAAAAGTGTGTTTTCTTTGACTTCTCAGACACCTGCCGGTGCCCGCGCTGGCATCGGTTGGCTCTGAAACTCGGCTGTGTTGGTCTGATCCTTCTTGTCCTGGGTGTGATTGGACTTGGTGTCTTAGGTAAGTGAGACACACGCTTTTCCCTTAGAATTCTTTCTCTAGCCTGGCAGTGGGGGGCAGGGAGGGAGCGTGGGGGGGGCATGACTTTAATCCCAGTGCTTGGGAGGCAGAGGCAGTTAGATTTCTGTGAGTTCAAGGCCAGCCTGGTCTACAGAGATAGTTCCAGGACAGCCAAGGCTACACAAAGAAACCCTGCTTTTAAAAACAAAACAAAACAAAACAAAACAAAACAAAATCTTTCTCTAGTTCCACCATGACTATATCATCTTCTTCACATGACCTGGCTTCCTTGAGCCTGGGGAAGACCAATGACGAACAGTTACAGGACAATATCCCCTGTGGCATTGCTCTTCTTGCTTCTTTTGAGAATCACCATGGGGTGACACATGTGCACCCAGAACTCTAAAAAAGGTCACAAATGTGACAAGATGACAATACAATGAAAACCGCAATGCCTAAATATAAGTTTATTAGGTGTCTGCTCAACTCCAGAAGGCAGCCACCGGCAACCTTCTTTGCTGTGGGTATGAGTACACTTACTCTACAGGGGAGCAGTGCAGAGTGTGAGCGGGGCAACGACCTCGGCAATGCCCTTAGATATTGTGGAACCCAACAGCAGCTGAATGCATTTGTTCTGGGCTTTTCTTCCTCTCTGTTCATTCTGTCTCAAAGGGGTCTGTTGTTTTTTGTTTTTTTGTTGTTGTTGGGTTTGGTTTTGGTTTTTCTTTTTTTTTTTTTTTTTTTTTTTTTTTTTTTTTTTTCTGAGCCAGGGTTTCTCTGTGTAGTTTTGGAGCCTGTCCTGGCACTCGCTCTGGAGACCAGGCTGGCCTTGAACTCACAGAGATCCTCCTGCCTCTGCCTCCTGAGTGCTGGGATTAAAGGCGTGTGCCACCAATGCCCGGCCCTGTATTTTTTTAAAATATTTTTTATTTAAATTATTTAATTACTACTCATATTTACATATCCATCCCCCTATTCCCTCACCCTCCCATGTTTCCCACCAACCCCCCCAACCCATCCCCCAAATCCTCCCCAGGGATAGTGAGGACCTCCACCAGGGACCTTCAAAGTCTATCATATTGTTAGGGGGAGGTTCTAGGCCCTACTTGCTGTAACTGGGCTGCAATCATATCCCTCCATAAGGAATGGGCTCCCATTGTGCTCTAAAGACTGGCTCCACTGTTAGAGGTCCTGCATACTGTCTTGGCCTCCTAGATGGCACCCACCTTCATGTCAGAGGGCTTGGTTGGGTCCAATGCTGTTTCAAAGGGTCCATTGTTAACAAGTTGCTAATACATTGTCTCCTGTCCATTCTCAAGCTTGTTGAGATGACTTCATTTCCTTAAGTGACAGATACAATATCCATTCTATTGCATGTGGGGTGTACATTTCATCTTCCCGTGTTTCATTACTAGTGCTATCCTTATTGCAAAAAACATCAGTAGGAGGAAACATAGGAGGAAGCATTGGAGGAAGCATTGGAGGAAGCGTCAGGCAAAATCAAGAGAACAACCAGACGAAACCCACAGGTAATTTTTGATATCCTGATATTTGACCAATATCACGTTACCTTTAGTCAAGGCTCACATCACTGTGGGTTTATGTTTGAGAAAACTGAAGCATAAAATGGCTAACAACTGCTGAAAGTCATGTGACTGGTAAGTGGCGCTGCTGGAAACTTCACTGAAGATGTGTGAGCTTGAAATCCAGTGTCTTGGCCACGTGACCATGCTGCCTCAGCCTGCTAGCACAGTTGGTTACTAACAGACAAATGGTGAGTTAAAAAGTAAAATACGGGGCTTAAGAGACAGCTCAGTGGTTAAGAGTGCTTCGATGCAAGTGTGAAGACTGTGATTGCAAACCCAGCCTCCATGTAATGAGGATGGTCACTGAGACCTGCTGGCTTTCAGCTTTGCAGAAAAAACATTAGCTTCCCGTTCAAGGAGAGACTCTGCTTCCAAAGAATAGCTGGCGAGGGATAGAGGTGGAGACTTTATACCCTTCTCAGGCCTCTGCATATACATAGGCACAAGTACTTACACATGCATGCACATGAACCACACACACACACACACACACACACACACACACACACACACACACACGCTCTTACAGACACATATATATGCTTTAGAGTCAATATTCTATTGCTGTGAAGAGACCCCATGACCACCGTAACTCCTATAAAGGAAAGCATTTAACTGGGGCCGGCTTACAGTTTCAGAGGTTTAGTCCATTGTCGTCTTGATGGGAAGCATGACAGCACACAGGCAGACACGGGGCTGGAGAGGTAGCTGGGAGTTCTATATCTGGATCTTTAGTCAGCAGGATAAGAAGGACAATGGGCCTGGTGTGGGCTTTTGAAACCTCAAAGCCCCTCCCCCCCACTTCCTCCAACAAGGCCACACCTCCAAAAGTAGTGCCACTCCCTGATGACTAAGTATTCAAATATGTGAGCCTATGAGGGCCATTCTTACTCAAACCACCACAAGGAATATTTGATTGTTTTAATAAACATGTCATATAGGTAACTTCGTCTGAAGTTAATTAGTAGAAACAAAAATAAAATAAATTCTGTTATTGATATTTCTTTGATATGCCATAACAGTAATCTTGTCCCAGGACGTGTTACTAAACGTGTGTGTTAGTAAAGCCACTACTGTGTGTAACTGGCTGTGGTGCAGCAAGAACAGGGTAGAAATATAGCATGGTTCTTTCTCACTTCAGACAGCCCAGCTAAGTTAAACTGCACAAAAAACTGGCTTCTACACCGAGATAAATGCATACAGTTTTCTCAAGAGAGCGACATTTGGAAGACAGGTCTAGCTGACTGTGCTACAAAAGGAGCCACTTTTCTGCTCATTCGAGACCACGAAGAGCTGGTAAGTTCCAGGTAAAATGGAGAATTAGTTTGCTCTTGAAGCTACACCAACTTCTCTAGACTTTACATTTCCCCACGCAAAGGAAGTGGAGACGGGACATTGTGGAAGCTGATGGAGAGACTACCGGGACATGGGAGCCAATAACTGCACATGTGAGGGGAGTGTCCTGGGGTCCTAGATTCGGGGCACAGATTCCTCAAGGGGGAAGAATGAAGTGTGCTGGGGACTCGGGACGGATACAGGTGACTCCTGACCTCGGATTCAGGAGGCTGGTGGACTGTGAGTCGCAGCGCACAGGCTCAGGGTAAGTCCTCTGCTCTGCTTTGATTATAGAGCTTCATAAAGGCCTCAGCAAATGCAAAAGGCACTACATTTTGGCTTGGACTATATTACACGTTGCCGGACAAGAAATGGAAGTGGGTAAACGGCTCAACTTTAAGTTCTGATGGGTGAGTATCGGAGCAGCTAACTTGATTATTCGTGACAGGTCATCTCAGGGCTCTAACACTGATACCAAAGATTAAAGAGGTTTGGAACAGTCTGAAAACATGATTCCAAAGGTGGTTTAAAATTCCATGTATGAAAAGATGCCAGCCTTTCATAAGTCATATGTATGCAAAGATGTATATATGCATATATATATATATATATATATATATATATATATATATCTGCAATGGAATTTTAAGCCCCGGAAGTAGACTAACTCCTTTAGAAGATGGCGACTTAGAACCTTTCAGCACACATAAATGCTCTTCCTTTCTCTTATCTTTTTATACTTTTCTATACATGGAATATCTTAAGCAGCACATTTCAAATATTGGTAAAAATATAATATAGGGTATTTTCAAATCAATTTGTCAGGTCCCAACCAGTATAGATAGAGTATGAAAGAAAAAAAATGCAATAAATATCAGTGTGGAACTCTGACATCTGAGAGAAACTACCTACAGAGTAACAGTTGTTTGACAGGATGTGATACAATTGTGTATCAGTCACCTTTTGTCACTGTAATAAAATACCTGAGATCACACAAATGGAAAGATTATTGGATATCAAAAAAACATTTTTTTTTTTAATTTAAGAGGTCTTAGTCTGTAGTCTGCTGCTCCATCGCTGTGCCTTCCATGGCAATGCAGAAGTAAAACAGAAGGGCAGGGACAAGCGAAGCTGCTCACCTCAGAGTGAACAGGAGCAGAGAAGAAAGCCGACACAGGGGCAGATAGGCCTTTCAAAGTCCTACCCCTTCCTATGATGCTCACTTCATCAGTAACTTAATCCACTGGCAGAAATCAGTGCCCTGTAGCAAGCTTTCTTGGACCACCAGCCCCCAAGGCATGACATGGAGACTTATTGTTAATTATGAATGTTTGACCTTAGCTTAGGCTTGTTTCTAGCTAGCTTTAAAAAAAAAAAAAAAAACTTAAATTAACCCATTTCTATTAATCTACGTGCTGACCGGAGGCTTGTTTACTTCATCTGTAATATCCATCCTGCTTCCTCCCTGGCTGGCTAGCTGCCCCCCGGGCTGACTGGGCCCTGGCTCCCCTATTCTCTCTGCCAGCCAGCCCTGCCTAACCCTCCTCTGCATATCTTTTGGTCATTCAGCTTTTTGTTAGATATGCAATAGTCAACCTTGTAGAGAGCAGCAGACCATATAAACTCTAAGGGTTAAGAAAGTTCATGTGAGTAAATTTCACATGTTTTAGCTGTATGCAATAACAATGCCAAGCTGCACATGACAAATATGTTTTTTTTTTTTCCAGAGAAGCACACAAAGGGCAGTTTAAACATCAATTACCAATAGAATACTAAGAAGTAATCTAAAATAAGCCCATTCCTTTCCTTCGTGCCTGGAGGAGCAAGGAAACACATTCCAAGGACATTGCCATGTCTTGAAGAAACTGAGTCACAAGATTCCAATTCCGTTTTCTTGGAATGTTCCCACGGGCACCCAGATTTCCCCTCACACAAGTCCATTCCTGGACCGTGTCCCAACAGCAATCAAATTTCTGTGCAGAGGTTTAAAATTTTTCAAAATGATACTGAGAATCAAGTTTTACTAATGGTGCTGGTGAATTTTATGTCAAATTGACACAAGCTAGAGTTATCTGAGAGAAGGAAACCTCTACGGAGAAAATGTCTCCGTGATAGGCTGTAGGCAGGCAAGCCTGTGGGGCATTTTCCTAATTAGTGATTGATGAAGGAGGGCCCAGCCCTTGGTGGTGGTGCCATCCCTGGGCTGGTGGTCCTGGCTTCTATAAGAAAGTAGACTGACCAGGTCATGAGGAGCAAGCCAGTAAGCAGCACCCTCCTAGGTCTCTACATCAGCTTCTGCCTCCACCTTCCTGCCCTGCTTGAGTTCCTGCTCTGACTTCCCTCAGTGAAAACAACCTTTTTCTTCCCAAGATGCTTTTGGTCATGCTGCTTCATCACAGCAATGGTAACCCTAGATAAGACAGGAATCTTGAGAAAATTTACACAAATTGCACAAATCAATAAGTAAAACATTACTTTTAATAATTTAGAATAAAAGGGTTGAAATTTAAAATACTAAAACATATGTAGTCTTTTTATTTTTATTTTTTGTAAAACACGTAGTCTTAAATAAAATATAATGATTAGGTATTAGGTATAGAGATTGTTAAACAGAAATTAACCTAGACAGAAAATGTTGGCACTATACAGAATCACATTTTGAATTTTTTTTTTTGCAAAGAATGAGACTTTAAAAAGGATTATCTAAAAACAAGTTTTCTGCTCTAAAATATATTTATGAAAACAAAATATACACATTCTGTTTCAGAAAATCTATCCTGACTTTTCCTAATGATTTCTGAGTGTCTTACTTAAGAGTTGTGTGACCAAAAACAAGTTGAGGAGGAAAGGGTTTATTTCCTCACTGAAGGAGTCAGGACGGGCACTAAAAACAGGGCAAGAACCCGGAAGCAGGAGCTGACGCAGAGGCCATGGAGGGGCCCTGGTCCCCGTCCTCTGGCTCTTACATTCTTTCTGCCCCCCTTTCCACGATGTTCCCTGAGCCGGGGGTGGGGTGGGGTAGGGTGATGATATAGCTGTCCCACTTAGGGCTGAGCATTCAACAATCACCCATTCTCAGTATTTTGACCAGTTGTGAGTTTCTGCTTCAATCACTTCTCACTACAAAAAGAAGTTTCTGTGCCGAAGACAAGAGCAGCAATAATCTGTGGTATAAAGTCTTGTGTTCTGAAGGCATTTTGAAACATGTTCACTTAGCAATATAGGAGTAGTATGCTACCAGTATGAGTTTGACCAGACTTGCAGCACAGGCATGAATTCCATGCTGCAGAATGGGCCTCAAATCCAGCCAGAAAGTGGTTGGTTACTTCCACAATAGTCTTGCTACTATTACGCCAATGGTATAAGCGGGTTGTTATTGTAGTTTGTGGGGTCCACAGCAAAGTTGGACATTGATGGATGGCTCTTTTCACCCAAAAGCCTGCATAGCACTTCAGTGTGTGTGTGTGTGTGATTCACAGTGATAATAACATTGTAAGACAGCTGAAGGGTGTGTTTTAAGCTCAGTCCATCTGTCATCTTGCCCTGGGTATAAAATGATGCTTTGACTACATGGCAGTGGTCAGGTAAGCCTGGAGGCTGCTGAGCTACAGTAGAAAGAGCATCACTTAAGCCCTGCTTTTGTTCTAACTCTCTGACCCTGGTTTTCAGATAAGGAAAAAGTAGCCACTTCCCCTGCATGATTATTTGGGGAATTAATAAAATAATGTCAGAGATCTCCCAAGGCCTGGTAGGAGACGGCCTGGGAAGTGTTAAAGGCATTTTGAACAGATCAGCCCTAAGAAAATTATCTTTAAAACTGAAGAGAAATCTTGAAGCATGGAACAAATAAGACAAAAGAACATTTACAGTGGAGGGGAGTCTGTGGTATGACCAGCACACAGGCAGTTGGGTGAGCATGATTTGTCTCTCAGGCCCAAAGGGCTCCATGAAGAAATGACAAAAGGAAAAAGGGCAGCTGTGAGGAAATCCCACCACTGTATACACCCACTTCTGTTTACAATAAATCAGTGCATTTTGAACTCATCTCTTCCTTACAGTTAACTCTAATTTCACCTGCATTGTGTTTGAATTCTAGTCTTGTTTATACCTGCAGTGAGCCATAGGAGCCATGGGAGCCATGCATGTGTTTTAGATCAAATATCACAGGGAATAAAGGGACCGTGACTATCACACAGCCTTAGTCTCTTTCCTCTGCAGACCCTGAGAGCCAAGTCTGTGTATTAAACACGGTCACTAGTACCGTCTGTGCTTAGCTGTTGTCTCGCTTTCATGTATATATGAACTCCTTCCCCAAGCATTGGATGGTCATGTCCTATATACTTAGGAAACTGAAGCTCAGCAAAGAGAGGCAGCTTATTTCCTTGCAGGAGATGTTAGCAGTAGAACGAGATTCAATTCTGTTTCCAAACCTTCTCCCTTTTTGTAGCATATGAATTTTTTTTTCTGAAGGAATGCTTCTCCAGTTGAAAATAAAATTGAAAATTATACTGGAGATTTGTTCAGACAAACCTTTATCTTTAATGTTGATGCATGTTGTTCCTCTGTGTTTTTCTATGATTAATAACTATGTATTCTACAGTCCTTAGAAGTCCAGAGGAAAAGATAGCCAACTCAAGATAATTATGAGAAAATACTAAACACTAAGAGTGGCCCCCGTTCTCTTCCTTTCAGATTACAAATCACTGGTGAAACTAAAAAAGACAGCTGTGTCGCCATCTCAAAGAACAAAGTGACTTCTGAGGCCTGTGATTCACACAACATGTGGATCTGCCAAAAGGAACCAAAACTCGTCTCTGAGACCGTGTGTAATGACTCCTGACTGCGAATCCTGTCTTCATTACTTCACCATCCAACCAGATCCCTGCACTCAATCTGTCTGGGCCGTTGGTCACCCTCCCCTCAGGTGGACTCGAAAGCCACTGTGACTCCTACAGATGCCGGTGTCCCATTTCTTTATTCTGTAAAGGGGACAGAGATGCTGATGTGCCCTTCTCAGAGAGGTGTTCTGTGGAAAGAAGCCCAGGCAGCTGAGAGGCATTGGATTCTTTTCTGGAGTCTGTGTGACCTTGGCTGGTCTCTGTGCCTTCGGAAAACTGCGGAGTCCTCATCTCTCCATCCCTCCGCTCCCCAGCCCCACCCACAGCCATCACTCTGCTGGGCTGTAGAACACTGATGGAAGCCCTTGCTCTTGACTGACACCAGAAGCGCGTGGTTACTGGAAATGACTGAGTGGTTTGAATGGCACCTACAAAATCCTAGGTAAACTGAGCTCTGGTCGTGTGACGTCTCCCCCAGGACACGATGCACGGGCAGATTCCGGGCCAACGCTGGCTTCTTGGAACTGGGCTTCACAGCTCCAGAACTGGCAGAGATGAGCTTCTCTCTTTGAAAGTTTTCTGTTTAAGTGACAGGAAAGCAGGCTAAGGCAAGGCTTAACGCTTCCCACCATTCCCCTAGTCCTTTCTGCTCTAGTTTGAATTTATTTTTCAAGGAGATATAAACTACCTTTAAAAGTAGACATCTATATACTCTAATCACTCAATTTCATGTTGGGTTATTTAAACTGAAGCGCATATTATCATGCCCCAGATACATTCTCAATTCCTATTATCCAAGATTACAGTTTTAATACTTGATAGTAATAATTTTCTATGTACAAATACCCAAAAGACAACTCATTTTGTGAAAAGTCTTAGAAAACAAATCACGTAGGAAAACCTTTCAGAGAAAATCAGATCTGTAAATCATTAATAAAAGTGAAGTCTGCAACTGTGAGGAGCACGCAGCTAAGCAGCTAAGAGCCGGAGGGAGGCGGGGTCATGCACACCCACCTTTTCCTAGTTAGGTACATCCTGACCTGGGAGGGAGTCAAGGGGACTATGGCTGTGACCTGGTGGCTGTGTCTGCTGGTGCTGCAGTGGTCCTTTGTGGTTAGACACCCTTGAAGCTGCATTTGGGCTCCTCCTGCCATGTAAGAAATTAAGGCACCAGGGGACTTTCCCAAAGACCACACATGCCACCAATGAGCAGGGAAGGAAATACTGTAGGGACATCTTGGCCCTGGAACAATGTCAGCAGAGTAAGATAAATGAAGCTGGTTCCCAAAGGGAGGAACTTGACATTGACACAGAGAGAGGGGACCGTAAGAAACTTTTAAAAATCCACCATGCAGAGCCCAGTGGGCTGCCAGCCCCCTCAGCTCTTCCTGCTCCAATATCACTCTGGAGTTTGCTGTTGCTCGGAGTGCCTTTGCTTTGCTAAATAAACTTGAGCTCAAACTGTGTCTTAGCTGAATTCTTTCTGTGAAAACACAAAACGAGAGGAGAAATCTTTACTTGGTGTGTTAGTTAACATTTCACCAACCTGACACAAGCCAGGCTCATCTGGGAGAAGCAAAACTCAATTGAGAAAACACCTCTCTAAACCTGCAGTGTAAGCTAGCCTGTCTGTCATTTTCTTGATGAACAGTGGATATGACAGGGCCCCCGTGGTGCCCCCCACAAGATGGTCCTGCATAATATAAGAAAGCAAACTGAGTAAGCCAGGAGGAGCAAGCCAGGAAGCAGCCTTCGTCCATGGCTGCCTCCAGGTTCCTGCCCGAGTTCCTCACCTGACTTATCTTCAAGGCTATAAACTGGAACAAACCCTTGCCTTCCCAAGTTGCTTTCACTCATGGTGTTTATTACAGTAGTGGAAACTTGACTAAGCTATCTGGAGATGAAATGGCCCATATGAAACAGTTACTGACAAGCACACCAATGAAAAGTTTGAGTCTTTTATTTATGGAAAGACATGAACGGGCTGGTGCCTCTGGAATGTTTCTTGGTGCCTGAACTCAGGGATACAGCACTTAAAAGACACAACCACCAGGTGAGGGAGCCTTTAATCCCGGCACTCAGGAGGCAGAGGCAGGTGGACCTCTGTGAGTTCAAGGCCAGTTTTGCCTACTGAGTGAGTTCCAGGGCAGCCAAAGATACATAGAGAAACCTTGTCTCGAAAAATCAAATAAATAAATAAATAAACCATAATCACATCAGTGCTGGGAGGGTACATTAGTGAGGGATTTAGAGTTGCCTAGTAACATTTTCATTCTTTACAGGGCTCAGCGGCGGCATCTCCCAGGCACTACACAATACATCTGAACCATGGTCAAGCCATGGACAGTCTCAGAGCATCACCACTGTGAATGTGGCTGCTGGAGGTGGAAAGCTAAGAAGTGACCAGGCAGGCACAAAGTAATGTTGGGACAGGGCAGGGTTACCTTAGTCATTTCAGTAACACAATGACACTATCAGAGCACAAATCTGAAGGAAATAGTCCCATAAATTATCATTTGCAGGCTCACCTCCTGGCATGGTATTGATAACAATCTGGCATGGTACTGGTGACAACTTTCTGGCACTGTGCAAGATGGGCTGAGTCCTCCCCAATGGTTCCTGGTACATCCAACACACAGATGTTACAAATGAAATCAAGCAGCCACATTGGGTGGCAAGTTTTCCCATGACCCCAAAGAGTTAGATTTTCTGTCTCCATCACGTCTGCTTCAGCATTAATTTACTATTGGATAGCGTCTTCCTGAGATCACCTCTGGAACTGCAGCTACGAAGGTGAAATTCCACCCGGAAGACTTGTAAAGTATCAGGTCTAATTCAGATACCTCAGGTGTCAGATCTGAGCAAGCGTTAATCCACACAAACTAACCGCAACTCTAAGCCACATCCAAAGTATGCTATTCCAACCCCGGCTCCTGCCGATTATAAAACAAAACAGGAGATGATTGTTCATGAGGAAACGGAGAAAAGATGAAGTGCCTACCTTGCTGGGACCGAAAGCTGTCATGGCCCTTATGTAAAACAGCAAGGGAGTCATTGAAAGTTAGAGATCCAGCCACTTTACCATCAAACAACCCCGCTCTGTGCCTATGTCCCGATAAAAGAAAAATTGCAAAATGCTTTTGCTTTTAATTTTCAAGGATGGAGGATGGAAAAGGAAGAGATAAGAGAATTTAATCAGTTAGTAGCTACTAGTTCAAGGATGGCCTTCAGACCTGCCTGCCATTACGCCTGACCCCGGCACGCTAATTTGTGTGTTGACGACTGTTTTGTGAACCCTCTCAAGCCCCCCCCCCCCGCCTTCTAAGACATCTTTGCACACTTCTCTTCCTAGGTCCAGCAATATAGACGACGTGTCTTGCGAAGTTTTTACTTTCACTGCAGGACTGCTAGCTCATAAATTCAAAGGGGAGTCTGTCGCCACCCTGTGTCCATAATGCACAACTGCAACCTTGAAAGTAAAGCGCTTTGGGGGGAATCCCACATTTACCCCCTGGTGGAGCCTTGGCAGCCCCTGAGCTGTAACGGACAGTCAGAAAGCGAGTGAGGTTTCTTTTCAATAAACAGATCATCAGAACAGCTTTATTCGCTTGCTCCTTCGGCCCCAAGTTCAGCTGCCCGGTTGCTTCAATGATGTGCAAGCATCACAGGATAGCTTTGTTTACATAAAAACAAATGTAGAGGATGTCTTGGACTAAACGGGCTCATTTCTTAGCCTCTTGGCCACTCAAACAATTGTAATACCTGCTGCTTCCCACAAATACATCCCCAGTAAATCTTGTTTCCCAGGGCTGAAGTGAGCCCTGTAATCACACAGTTTCCAGTACCATTTCTTATACTTCTTCATGCTTGCTTTGCAGATGAGGCAAAATCTGTGCAAGTTAGATAGTGTTTACTGGAAGTCTTTTAGTCCATCGGTTGGACAGCAGTTTTCCTTTTTAAACTTACTTTTATTATGTTTTAAATTGCATGCGTGGGTGCTTCCTGGAGCTCCCTGGAGCTGGAGTTAGAGATGGCCTTAGATAGCAGGTGTGGGTGTTGGGAACCGAACTCACGCCCTTCCAAGCCCAGGTCCTCGACAGCAGCACGTGCTCTGAACCGCCGGACTGTCTCTCCAGCCCCTGGTGGGGTCTCTCGCTTGGGATCTCTCAAAGAACGGGCTTCCATGTATCAGAAAAACGATGGTGTCCATCTTGTCGATGGCGTGTCTTTCCTTTTATTTTGTTTTCTCGAGACAGGGTTTCTCTGTAACTTTGGAGGCTGTCCTGGACCTCTCTTTGAGGACCAGGCTGGTCTCGAACTCACAGAGATCCGCCCGCCTCTGCCTGGGATTAAAGGCAGGTGCTCCCACGCCCGGCTGATGTCATGTGCTCCTTTTAATTGGAAAGCACGAACTGCAAAATCAACAGTTTGCAGTTTTCCCACCTTGCTCCTGCAGGACCTGGAAAGGTCCCTTCCTTCACAGGGTGACAGCGGCTTTTTTTCATGGAATTTCTCTGGAAAAAGTAAATTTCCATGCTCACGTCACGAAGGGGTTTGCTCGGATAATTATGTTGAAAAGACCTTTCTACCTGTTTAATGGAAATACGGGTCCTGTCTGGTCTCACCTGCCCTGAGCGCATGGAGTGGCCTCTAACGAATGTCTAAGGGACAGATACTCTCGCCAGACTTGTGCAACTGACTCCCTTTGGGCCATGGAAGACCCAGCTTGTCTTTTTTGTTTGTTTGTTTGTTTGTTGTTTTTTGAGTTGTTTGCTTTCTCTATGTTTTCTTAAAAATAAAGATTAGAATTTCACAGTTATTTAGTAACATTTTCAGAGAAGCAAGCAAGCAATGACTGGAAGCCCAGACTAACCTGTTTGTATGTAGAATGGCCTTTCCCTTTCTGTCTGGAGTTGCGGACATTGAAATCAGTCACACAGACCGACTTGAATTCGGAGAGAAGGTCATGTTTCCGGATTCAACTTCCATAGCCTGCTTACCAATTCAGTCATATCATTATAAAATAAAATAAAACTCATACACGCAAATCCACAAATAAATGTGATTTTAAAAATAGCTCAACCAAATGTCCCTTGCAGTTGTCCAAATCCTCTGCTTTCCCCCAGCCCCTGTGTAAAGACTGTAGGGAAGTCTGGGTGACTCTAAAACATTTTTCCTGACTTAAAACTTTGACAA